TTCAGTTTTGACACATGATTTGAGTTTCATGTTTATTTGATGACACAAACAAAAAAAATGGCTTCTCTGCTCAGGGAGCAGCTTGGAATTGCAACTGAGTGGCAAGTGATGAAATTTGGAAAGAGTTCCAAGAGCAGGAACAGTTTTTTTTTTCAATTAAACCATGAAGGAAAATTTCAAGGAAAAAAGTTTTTTTTCTTTCAGGAATCTCCTTGCTGAGCCTGGGAAGCAACCTTGGGCTTGGTTCACAGGCTGAAAATAATTCTTTTTTTTTTGCAAATGTCTGAGGATTTAGATAGATCAGTGTCACCAAAAAAATATGTCCTATGACAGGTGAATAATATTGCTTTCTGTGTTTCACATTCTGGAACTTGCCGTAAATTCCACCTTTAGCAACTTGCTGCTCTGAAGCAGACAACGTCATTGCGTGTTCTGCTTGCATTGTCTGGTTTGCGGTCATTTGCCCAGTCCCCTTTCTGTTGCCCTGTTTTGGTTGCACAGTTGCATCTGGTTTTACTCAAGTCTATAAAGGTACTGCAAAGTGTATATACTGGTACAGTATTCATTGTTGGTCTGACTCTTGTTTGATGCACACAAAATATACATCATCACAATTCTAAGGAGAAGTCTAGATTCACTCAACCCTGGCCATAAGAACTGAAATCTTCTTGTTGGAAAGTTTATCCTGGGAAGTTTGTGACTTTAGATTAATTGTTTGTAAGAGAAAAATGTTTATTTTCTTGGCAAAAGTGTCTTTAGTTGATTCTTCCACCAACTTAGGATAACATCAGGAAAAGTGCCAGTCTGGCACCACTCTGCCATTGTTTCCCAACACCACTTGATCTCAAATGATCAAGCAGTAAAATAGAATTTGGATGCTGATTAAATATGTTGATTCAAAAATGATGGTTTAATCTTATTTACTTCATTCAAGCCCTGATCACCCAGCACAGAAACTTTTTCTGTCACTATACACCAGAAATGCATTTCTCTCCTGGACTTCATGCAGAAAAAAAATGGTTCATTTCCAAAAAAATGAATAATTCAATTCTTGAAAGGAGGTTTTTGAAATGTAAAAGTCATCAATGTGCTCATTGGAAGAAATTCAAGCTAACTTTGCACTTTCAGATACCATGCAGAAGGAAATCTGGCATTCCTCTTCTATTTTTTGAACTGAAAACCACTCAAAATTTTGTTTTTGAATGAAATATTGGATTCTTGATGAAGTCATGCACAGGAAGGTTCCAGGATTTTTTACTCCAAAATGTTTTGCAACAAAAAGTTCAATTCAGAAATATGATCACCCACCAGGTTTTCACAGCATCATACTCCACTTTTCCCTAAACACAGCACATGAACATGCAATAGTCAATTTTTTCTTTATTTAAAATTTTTAAGAGAAAGAAGTCTTCCAAAAATGAATGTCCTGAATAATTTGATTTACAGATGCTTCCCAGAAAAATGGGTGAATATAGCGTTCAGCCACTGAGTGCTTCACATCTTTCACTCAGTATTCTCATCAGGTTACATTGATAAATTGCAGAAGCTCTCCAGGGGGGAGGAGGAGAAAGCAGATCTCTGAAAGATTACATGACTTTTGCATCACAGGCTGTGCTCCATTAAAAAAAAATAAAGTAAAAAAGGGAGAGAGAGGGGAGAGTGGGGGTAGATGGGTTAGCATTCAGAGTCAGGTCACACATGGCTGCCCCCCAGGGGCAAACTTAACCCCCCCCCCCCCAGAAGCAGGGGATCAATGAGCCAAAATGAGGGGATCAATGAGCCCCCACTCATGTATCCATGTGGCAATTCAACCATTCCCTGAGGCAAAAAATAGAACCTGAACATTAGCTTGAAAGCAATCAATCCATAAATAAGGAGCACATGATGATATTACTTTCATTTGAGCAACAATATTTGATTTTGAAAATATTTTATTGTGCAAGGGCCACCTTGTTCTTCATAAATTTTTCTTTTTCAACATTCATTTTTTTTATTTTTTAGAAGAATTCCTGGTTCTTCAACCCATCAGGAATGTATTTTTTTAATTGTTCCCAAACATAATTTCAGTGTCTCTGACATCCACATACAGTCAAACCTCTCATCCAAGTCAAATTTCATGGGACCTGCAAAAAACTTCAGTTGGGAGAATTGAATTTAAGGAGGCTTTGAGTTGGGAGAACAAGCTTTTTCGTTGGAAGGAACACATAGGAATTGCAGGGAATTTTAAATGGTCATATTCTGGATCTTGAATTGCTTCTTAAATGAGTTTAGAGGATGCTGAACTTGGGAGGCAGGGGTTCATTTGCCCAATTTGTACTTCAATCCCTTTCTAAACACACCAAGTTGCATTTTTTTGCTTTTCTCTTTCCTGAGTCAAGAAAACAATACGCGAAAGACCTCAGAAAATTTGATTTACAGAGGTTTACCAGGAAAAGCCCTTGAGTTGGAGAGGTTTTTGATGCATTGTTTCTAAGGGAATTCAGACAGAGACTATAAATAAATTTGACTTGCTAAGGTTGGACTTATTGAGGTTCAAGCATTTGACAATATTAATTTTAATCTTTTCTCTTGGTTTTGGCAGAAAAAAATAATTATAGGTCTTGAATTGTCTGTTTTGGAAGCACTCAACAGTATTCAGTAAAAACCTCTCACACAATTTCATGCTGAACTCATGAATCTTGATACAAATTTTTGTGTCATAACAAATTTCCATCAGGTCCCCAGGAGTTTGTTGCAACAAGATTTTCCTTCATTATTCTTTGTGTTCTTCTTCATTATAATGCAGGAACAACAAGAAGACATCATCAGTAGAATCTCCTTGCAAAAAATCTCAGCATAATAAATGTATGTCTAGAAATACTGTAATCATTTTTGGTCCTTTTCCAATACAACATTTTTTTAATGTTGTTTCAAGAACATTTCATTTATATCAACGTTTTTTTTTCAAAGTTTTAATAAATGCTTTAACGTAAAAAGATTCATGGTATTTGTGTTCTTCTTCTTCTTCATAATGCAGAAACATTGAGCAGACAACATCATCATCAGTGAATTCTTGGTGCACAAAATGTCATTACAACAAATTAATGTTTAGAGCAACTTTTATTCTTTTGGTCCCTCACTATTAATTTTGTTTTCCAAAATTTTAGTTTTTGACAAAGCTATTTCAAGGTTCCAAATGCTTTGTTGTCCAGTAAAATCCTGTTTAAACAAATACTGGTGACACATTTTTTCAGTATAAAAAACTTTTTTCCAAGTCCCAGCAGATATCCTATAGGATACATGCTATAAACATCTCCTTACATGAAACTTGCCAATTCCAGTAAAAAAAATATTTTTTTGAGGAACACGTTGTGATTCTTCAATGAAAAACATCCCTGATATTTTTCCAAGTCCCAGGAGAACTTGGAAACTTGCTACCTTTTTCTGAAGTCTCTGGGATACAAGTTTTGTTGTAACAAGACTTTACTGTAAAAATATTATAATGTACAGTGAGACCCCCACATGTGGACAGCTCAACCCGCAGACAATTCAACATAAGGACACTTATTTTCTTAATAAAAATTAATAAAAAAGGCCCAACATGAGGACACTGACTCAACATATAGGGACATTTTGTTATAAAATTGCAAATACATTCCAGGCCAGATTGAAAGAAACATATACTGTATTCCCAAACCCTAAAATTGATTTCAGAAAAGTTCTTGGGCATTTCTCTCACCAATTTACCATCCATTCAAGCCCTGATCACCCAGCACAGAAACTTTTTCTGTCACTATACACCAGAAATGCATTTCTCTCCTGGACTTCATGCAGAAAAAAAATGGTTCATTTCCAAAAAAATGAATAATTCAATTCTTTATTCAGCTAATTAAAAAAAATTACCTCCAGCATAGAGGGACTTCCTTCACTCTTTTTCACTTGAATGTTATTTTGTTTACAGAGAATGCCAACATTTCTATGTACTGCACAGAGGTATCGGTATTCAATTCCTCAAATAAATGTCCATGTTGCGTTGAAACATACTGATTGAATCAGTTTAAATTGGGAGACAATTTTTATTTTCATGGATTTATGGTGAGTATTTTGTCCATAAAACACCAATTAAAAATTATATAGCGTAAGTCTAATGGAAAATGAGACTTGACTCAAGGACAGTTCAACTTTGGGACACTCTTGATGCACCAATCATGTCCACATCTCGGGGTCTCACTGCATCATCCTTCTTCTTCTTCTTTTTTGTGATGCAGGAACAAAAAGAAGACTTCATCATCATCATCATCATCATCATCATCATCAGCAGCAGCAAAAGCACAGCAGTGAAGCCCCCCCAGAAGGTGGCACAGCATACAGAAAATCAGTATATAGCCTGCAGCACCAGCAGCTGTTGTTGTGGTACCACCACCACCACCTCCACCAGCACAACTGCAGACACCATCAGTGGGCATGTTCCTGCTGCAGTGGGAAGCCATGCGCTACTACCGCCTCTGGATCTACGCCTGCAACGCCGTGCTCCTGGCCTCGGCCCTGGTCCTGCTGGCCTACGCCACGCTCGTCTCCGCCGACTACCGCCTCGCCTTCATCCCGCACTCGTCCCTCCTGCACCCGTCCCTCGTCTACGCCTACCTGGCCCTCCTGGCCCAGTCGGGCTGCGTCCAGGCCCTGGGCTGCTACGCGGCCGTCAAGCTCGACCCGCGACTGCTCCGAGCATACTGGGCCGTGTTGCTAGTGCTGCTGCTGGGCGACGTGGCCACGGGCCTCGTCTGGGTGTTTCGCTACGACCGGATCTGCAGGGACCTGGTGCCCGAGCTCAAGCGGCGGTTGGTGGCCGAGTACGGGATGGACCCGGGGTTCACGAGGGCCTGGGACCGGTTGCAGGTCGAGGCCAGGTGCTGCGGAGCGGACGGGCCAGAGGACTTTAACCTGACGGACGCCTTCAATGATGGTGGTGGCGGTGTTGGCGGTGGTGGAGGGTATTTTATGAGTGTGCATGTCCCGGCCACGTGTTGTCATCCGAGTCACGCGTTGCCGGTGAGGGCACTGGCCAATGCCGAGCCGGAGAGTGGCGGCAGTGGCGGCGGCGGTGGCGTCCCTTCCTTTTCTTCTTCTTCTTCTTCTTCTTCTTCGACTTCAGTTGGTAACACTGCTGCTGCTGCTGCTGCTTCTGAAGTCCATCATCGGAAACGGCGGCGGCGAGGAGAAAATTCCAGGCGAGCTTTTTTTTTTTTTTCACTCATCGCATTTATGCACATTTTTGTGCAAAAATTTCATTTTATTTCTTTTGAAAAATGATAAATTTCTCTCTGCACAAAAATGAACAATTTTTTTTTACCACCAAAAATTAATTCTTGGCTATCAAAAAAAAAATTTCAACTGACCTTACTTCAATATAAAAAGGGAAATTTGAATGCCAAAATGGATTTTAAAAAATAATTTAAGAATTTTTTTTACATTTTTAAAATGAGGAATTTCTCTTTGCACAATGAACAAATTTTTCAACAACCAAAAGTGGATCCTTGGATAACAACAAAAATATTGTCAACTGACCTGACTTTAATTTTTTTCAAGGGAGATTTTGAATGCCAAAATGAATTTCAGGAAAGAATTTACGAAATTTTTTAAATTTTTAAAATGACAAATTTCTCTTTGCAAAATGAACACATTTTTTAACCACCAAAAGTGGATCCTTGGTTCACAAAAAAATATTTTCAACTGACCTAACTTTAATTTTTTTAAAGAGAGATTTTGAATGCCAAAATGAATTTTTAGGAAAGAATTTAAGAATTTTTTTGAACTTAAAAAATTAGAAATCACCAGTAAAAACTAACTGATTTAGAAAGATAAACTGAAATTTGACAAGAAACTTTTGTAAATGGAAGGCATAACTTAAGAAATTAGAAATCACCAGTAAAAACTAACTGATTTAGAAAGATAAACTGAAATTTGACAAGAAACTTTTGTGAATGGAAGGCATAACTTGGAAGCAAAAATAAGCAAATTTCAAGAACAGTCAACCTCTCATTGAAAATTTTATTTTTTTTTTTAGTTTTGCAAACCTGAAGAACTCCCATTGGTCACCAAGCTTCTATAAAATGTACTTGCAAGAATTTGAATTTGTACTGAAATGCAAATTACTGCAAAATACAGCCCTGTACTGTATTTTTTCATCACTTTGAAAATATTGGGAAATCTTGAGGCATTGTGCAGATGCTGAGAGGAATTTCTACTTAAAAGAAACAAATTGCCTGTATGTCAAGTCCCCACAGTATATGAACTTTTAAATAAGAGAGTAATCAATATAATGAACTTCACTTGATTAAAAATTGTCAAAAATAATTATTTCAAATTCACACCAGTGATGCTTCCTCATATGCTCTGCACTTCCTTTCAAATTAATCAAAACACTGTTTACCTGCATTTCTGTTTTGTATAGGAAACTGACCATATACTATTGTTATACACTGTATTACAGCATGTCTTCATTGCATCAGAGAGCAAAAAGGTCCAATCACAGAGACAGACACTGGCAACCCCCACCCACTAAGCCATCACCCAAGCTGCCACAGAAACTGGGCCAGAAACCAGGGCCAGGCAAAAGACAGCGCAACCTCAATGTGACTTGTGTGGATGCAGACCTGGCCCCAAGGGCAGAGGCCCATGAGCTGGCCTGTGGACAGGTGCTCAAAAAATGGGTTGGTGATGCTGCTGAAGTTCTCTTTGTGCTGGGCTTCTGTGTCATTGCATTCTCCAAGGTGAGTTGTAAACAAAACTTGAAATCAACATCAAAATGTCTCCTTTTTTGCAAGTTTTGAAATAGTGTACTCTACATTAATAAGTATGAAAAAAATGCAATAAACTCCTGACCATAAGAAAGCACAGAAATTGAATCTGCCAGTCAAATATTCTTGTTACTTCACCATCATCACAAACCCAACAGAAATAATTATAGTATATTAAAAAATTAATCTAAAAAACCACGTTTTTCAAGTAAGACTAAAAAGCACAAAAAAATTTAGTTTGAGTTGCAAAATTTGATCCAGACAAACAAACGGACAAGAAAGCGAGTTAATAAAAACGTGTTAAAATCAACTTAGTTTCCCAAAGAAAAAAATTGAACAAGTATTGTGTGGGCCACATAACCTGGCCTAATAGATTCAAACTATTCCATATTTACTCAAGCTTAAACTGACCCATTCCATAGTTTTGAAACTTGCTGTTCTGAAGTGTGTCCACCTGAATCTACTGTAAATCTTCCACCTTTTCACAATTGCAGAAGAAAATAAATACTGTAAATACTTCATGGATTCTTTGAAAATATTTTACTTTATTCAATTCACTTGAAGGTATTTCAAAAATAATTCAACCTCCAAAGTTAAGCTGAAATCAGTTAACCTTAAGCAATTCACTATAGAAGGAAATCCACCAACACTAATTAACCTGGAAGACTTCCACTTGAATGTATTTCTCTTCAATTGGAATCAAACCAATGCAAGTGGAAGTTTATGCAGTAGCTAGTATAAAGGAAATGCTTGCAGGTGGGAGCACCTAAAATTAAGTGGAATAACTCAAGGAATTATCTTCAAAATTATTTCATCCTCTGTAATTAACCAGAAAGTGATCAACTTGAAAGTATATCACCACAAGTACTACTGTACATTTGAAATCATTCCTTCAAGTGAATTCACCTGAAACTGTTTGCTTCCAGTGACTGACATGAAAGCAAATAATCTACTTGAAAGTAATTCATCTACAGTAATTGACTTGAAAGACCTTCATCTCAAGTAATTGACTTGAAAGACCTTCATCTCAAGTAATTGACTTGAAAGACCTTCATCTCAAATAATGGACTTGAAAGTGCATTTTGATTACTCATTTGTTTAACTTTCGTTAAGAGAACCTCTTATAAGGAAAACTTTTATAAAGAGGATACCTCGTAAGTTCAACTTTTCTAAAGTGGACGTAGTTAAAAGACCTGGTTTAAGTGGGACTTCTGAAAGTAATTTTCTGACCTTCCCAGAAAAGACTTGCTGTAATTTAGATTATATATTTGGAACTTTGTCTCCAGATGCATATGCTTTTTTGAAATGGTTTTCAATAGGGGCTGTTTGAAAGCATACAACAAGTGACACCATGAAGTCAGTCAGGCAATTAATCCACAAAGTTGTTGAGTACAAAAATTTTAAAAAAACCTACAGGAGGGGACAATGGGGGGTATGTGTGTGAAAGTGCATCATGACAATCTGACATCCAAATAACTGGCTTTTGCCAACAGATTTGCTTCCTGGGGTTGCTCAGATATGAGATCAAAGAGATGATCCAGAAGATTAAGATGCTCAGGTGTGAGGAAGCAGCAGCAGCAGCAGCTGGAGGTGGATTAGGGCATGACTATGCAGACATCACTCAGAACCATGTGTCCCATCAGCAGCAGCTTTTGCTTCACCAGGCTCCTCCAGTGTCTTCTTCAATGGCTGGTGAGTTGATGTCCTCTTGGCTGAAACTTGTTTTCCACCCACACACACTCACAAAATTGTATTTTTAAACTATGCTTCATACTTGAATGGATGCATTCACAGGACAGTCATATCATGGGCATAACAAAAGTTTTGTAAAATTATCACAGAAAAATATTACTCTTAAATTTTACTCATTTCAGAAAACAAGTGAACTCTCTCAATGACAATCTTGTTGCAAAAAACAGTGAGACCCCCACATGCAGACAGCTCAACCTGCAAACAATTCAACATAGGGACACTTATTTTTGCAGAAAAAATTAATAGAAAGGCCCAACATGAGGACACTGACTTAACATAGGGACATTTTGTGAAAAACTTGCAAATCATTTTCAGGCCAAATTACAAGAAACAGATATTTCCAACCCTAAAATTGATGCAAGAAAAGTTCTTGGGCATTTCTCTTACCATTTTACCATACATTTAGCTAATTTTAACAATTTACCTCCAGCATAGAGGAACTTCCTTCTCTCTTTTTCACTTGAATATTATTTTTACAGAGAATGCCAACATTTCTACGTACTGTGAAGAGGTATTAGTATGCAACTCCCCAAATGTCAACATTGTGTTGAAATATATTGATCAAATCAGTTTAAATTGGGAGACAATTTTTATTTTTATGGAATTATGGTGAGTATTTTGTCCATAAAACACCTATGAAAAATTATAAAAATTTATTAATTATAATTAGCAAGTCAAAGGGAAAATGAGACTTGAGTTAGGGACGCCCTTGATGCACCAATTATGTCCACATCTCAGGGTCTCACTATTAAATATCAGCTCATCATTTGCATAAATTAAAAAAAAACCCAACATCAAAGAGACTCTTCCACGTAAAAAAAAAACCAAGTATCCATCACACATCCATTCAATTCAACATTTAAAAATGGTTCAAGGTGCCAATTGTTCCTCCTTTCATATATCCCAGGCGAATGTCCATCAGACAGTGCATGCGGCGAGGAAGCAGCGACACCTTGCCAGCAACTCGAGGAACAAGACGAGGCCCTGTTGCAGCGCCCGACACCAGTCCACACCCGACTCAACCACTTGAACCCAAACTACGATTCGGCGTCCGAGCACAGCAACGCCGCCCTCATTCCGCTCCTCGGCGGCGGCACTGCCGGCGGTGGACAAGAAGCTCACGAGATGGACGACCTGGCCCAGGCCAGTGCTGGGCCAGGTCGACAAACTGAGATCTGACGACTTAACGGGAGGCCATTCATGCGTTTGTTCTTCCAGGGAAATTTTCCTCTGCTCTTCTGATGAGGGTCTGCTGCTGCTGATGATGATGATGGTTTCCTGTGGATTGAATTTGAGTGTGTGTGTGTGGGGGTGGGGTTTTACTCTTTCATTGCACAGGACATGACCAGAGACTTAGGCCAGATTTGTTCCGTGTTTCTTTTTTCGATATGAACATGGAAAACATAAAAAGCCTCTGGTTGTGTGTGTCTGTTGATCTTGGGTCAACCAATACTTCATTTCAGTTCCGCAGACTCAATTCTGAAGAACCAACCTGAGTGGGGAAATTGGTGCACGCTGGGGATACGCAAGTAATTCTATCCTCTGGTTGTGTGTGTCTGTTGATCTTGGGTCAACCAATACTTCATTTCAGTTCCGCAGACTCAATTCTGAAGAACCAACCTGAGTGGGGAAATTGGTGCACGCTGGGGATACGCAAGTAATTCTACACAGTGACCCTGTGCTGTGCACCTGAAATGTACCAAAGTTCTTCTGTTGCGCATGCATATCCTCAATGTGCACCAATTGTGTGTTCACACCAGGATTACTCGAGGTCACATTCAGAAACAAATAAGTTACACCAAGGTTAAAGTTGGTGCATTTGTGTGATACTCCTGTTATGTCACATTTGTGCACCAAGTGTAACCCTGGAATGGTAGCAAAAGTTCCTCTACAGGAATGCCACACTTGTAACCCCAGAATATCCCATATGCACCAGTTGTGACCCTGGTGTGAACCTACTGTGGGGTCACAGCAAAAATAGCTTTCCACTTGGGTGCTCCTGCTAGATGACATTTTCCAAAATTCCACAGCTCTTCAGGTATATTATTTCCTCAATTGCTGTTGGAATAGTTTGATGGAGAGAGAAACATTTCATGCATTCTCCTTCAAGAAATTTTCAGTGGTTCACCAAACTGTTTTGAAACTTGCTGTTCTGAAGTGTGTCCACCTGAATCTACTGTAAATCTTCCACCTTTTCACAATTGCAGAAGAAAATAAATACTGTAAATACTTCATGGATTCTTTGAAAATATTTTACTTTAATCAATTCACTTGAAGGTATTTCAAAAATAATTCAACCTCCAAAGTTAAGCTGAAATTAGTTCACCTTAAGCAATTCACTATAGAAGGAATTCCACCTACACTATAATTAACCTGGAAGACTTCCACTTGAATGTATTTCTCTTCAATTGGAATCAAACCAATGCAAGTGGAAGTTTATACAGTAGCTAGTATAAAGGAAATGCTTGCAGGTGGGAGCACCTAAAATTAAGTGGAATAACTCAAGGAATTATCTTCAAAATTATTTCATCCTCTGTCATTAACCAGAAAGTGATCAACATGAAAGTATATCACCACAAGCACTACTGTACATTTGAAATCATTCCTTCAAGTGAATTCACCTGAAACTGTTTGCTTCCAGTGACTGACATGAAAGCAAATAATCTACTTGAAAGTAATTCATCTCCAGTAATTGACTTGAAAGACCTTAATCTCAAGTAATTAACTTGAAAGACCTTCATCTGGAATAATGGACTTGAAAGTGCATTTCATAATGAGTAAACAAATTGAAAGCAATTCTCTTGGAGAATATTCCTTTTGAAAATATTTCTCCTATGGAGCATTCAAGTTGAAAAGATTTCACCTGCATCAATTTTCTGGACCAAATTCACCCTGAAG